TACTACAGAAAATGTTTTAATTAAAAGAATAAGATGTTAAAAAAATAAAAGAATAAGATGTCTCAGACATGTCATTAGGTATGGTTTACTTTTGTTTCTAGCATGATTGATAGATAGGAACTATTGGCTACACAGCAAATTCAAACTTTACACAGAAGAGTACAAACGGAACCCCAATGCTGAAAACATAGATGTGACCTGAGTAATTAGGGAAACTGTGTCTGAACGAATACACTCTGACAGGCTCCTTCCCTGGCAGTTCATTCAATTGAAAGCGAACAAGAGCATCAATAAAGGCAACCTTCACTACAGATGACACGGTGTACAGTATAGTTGTTTTTAGAAAACGGGAAGGACATTCAAATGGCTTTTCAAAAGAGAGAGGGGGAAAAAAGCCAAGTTATGACAATAAAAACTAATAGCCAAGGGCCCTTCTGTAGGAAAACATAATGAATGTAGCTGTCAGAATTCCATGACCCCGTATGAAGTGTAGTCCTGCTAGGGCTGCCCTTTTGGAGGAAGGAAATTGGGGCTGAAAGTAGAGAAGACATCATGGCAAAGTCAGCCTCTCTGACCCATTTGGGGGAATGTGACGTAGAAGAGGCTTCACCAGAGGTGGCAAATCCAGAAGCTACACACCCAACTGCACAATTCAGAGGGCTTTACAGTCGTAAAAGAAGTCATAGAAATCTGCATGCAGGCCCAGGGTTGAGACATCTAGGCAAGGATTTCCCCTTTTGAAGGGGATTTCCCTTCAAAAGGGGAAATCCCCTTCGAAGCCATCACATGTACTAGGTATAAAAGGCGGCTCATTCTTCGTATGTTTACAGTGTCATAGTCAATTTCATGCCTAATTCGAAATTACTTTTTATATTGTATATGAACAATAGAAAAGTTATAGTTCTGATCCGAAACTCAGCTTCAGAAACCTTTTTATGAGCAAGAGTACTGCCGTCTAGCACAGGAGAAAGCAGCAAGAGGAGTAAAATCGGTTTCACCTATGCCGCCTGGACAAAGACGCCCCCCCAAAGACACACGAACGAGACACCCAAAGGCAACTGCTCTAGTCCTCTTTGGGAACCTTCTCCTGAGACATCGAGCTGTCAAGAACAAGACAAGGAAAATGCATCCCAGCAAATGATTTGTCTTTAAAAGCATTCAAAAGGAAACTCCTCTAGTCCGTAAGTACCTTCGACGTCTTTTGCTTCCGTGAACAGCGGTACTTTGGACAGCACCTTGCTCACTTCCTCCGATTTTACTACTTGAGGAGGACTCCTTGCTCGGGATGAAAAGCACCCAAAGGTCAAACTGCTCAGGCGCTGGCCTTCAGAAAGCTTTGGTGTGGAGACACTGGACGACTTCTTCCCTTGAATGTCTGCAACATCAAGTCAAGATTCAGCGTGATCTCAACCCCACCTCCAGCAAGCTGGAGTATCTCTCCTCGCATCCAGGGAGTGTTTGTAAATGGATAAAGAAAGGACCTTGGAGAGTCAACAATCACTTGAACAAGAACCAAATCACATGTAAAAAGGGCTTGACATCATTAGCCACTAGGCAACTATAAAGGAAGAACCACAATTAGATGCTAGTACATATCTACTCACCATTAGAACAGCTGCCAGCAAACCGCTCTTGACCCCGTGTTTGTCAGAGTAGAACTTTGTGCTCCACAGGGTTTTCGACGGCTGATTTGCAGAAGTGGGTCACCTCCAGGCCTTTCCTTAGGGGTACTTCTAAGTGGGCTCAAGCCATCAATGTTTTACTGAACAACCAAGCACTCAATCATTTGTACCTCCTAGGCTTTTTGCATGCTCACTACGTTGGCTAAAATGAAAAGACTGACCATACTATGTGTTGGCAAAAATGTACACCAATTAGAACTTTCATACATTGCTGTTGTGAATGGAAAAGGGCCATAACTATTTGGGAAAATTGTTTGTTTTTTAAGTTAAATATATATATTTATTTACCATACGACTCAGCTATTCAACTCCTAGGTACTTATTCAAGATAATTAAAAGCACATGTCTACACAACTCCTCATACATAAATGGTCATAGCAGCTTGAAGTGTAGAAGCCCCAAACAGGAAACAACTTCAATGTGTATCAACAGGCGAGTAAGGAAATGATGGCCTATGCACATGATGAAATCCTCAACAGTAAAAATAAACTATTGATATGTACAGCAACATGGGTATGTCGCAAAACAATGATGCTGAATGAAAGAAGTCAAAAAGTGTGCACTGTATAAGTGCAATTATATAGCATTTAAGAAAATACAAACTAACAGTGACAGAAAGCAGATCAGTGGTTGCCTGGTTGGGGGAAGGGGCAGCATTCCAGCCAGGACCAGAATAGCTAGTATCTATCTAGTATATGCACATGGTCGGAGGAAGCACTCAGCTAGGTGGCCACATGCAACAGAGTAGTGAAATAGGGCATTTCCCCCCCCCACTTTAATAGAGCAGCCCAGTTGATAAATGGGTGATTGGATGAACAAAGAAAGGAATCCTGAAGTGCTACAGACACCGGTGATTATGTCAGTCAACATCTCCCTGACTGTCCATCCTCCACCTGCAACTTGACCTTGCCCCTTCAAGATTGATAACCCAATAATCCAACTACTCTCCTAGGGTCTTCTGCTAACTACTGTATTCGCCTGTCTTCCTTGGCACAACATTTCCATACATCTTCCTGGAGTTGTCTAGAACTGGGGAACAGGTGAGCCTCTTGGCTAGTCTCTCAACTGTGGCGGACCTATTCTTCCTTAGTCTCGTCTCTTTGTGCCTTCCACTACAAATCAACATTCACTTGGGTGTCGGAGTCTGGGTTTGTTTAGACACTGTCTTTTATTAAATGGCAGTAATTTTTGGTATGACATACAATTATGTCCATAAAACACTAGCAAAAACTAGCACAATTCTATATGGTCAAATGAACCCAACTAGGAGACCTTGTGGTGCTAAGAGGTAAGCATTTGACTGCGAACTGCAAGGTCGGAAGTTCAAACTCACAAGCTGCTCCTCAGGAGGAACTTGAGGCTCTCTGCTCTGGTACAGACTGCCAGCCTCAGAAAGCTGTGGGTCCCAGTCGACTTGATGGCAGCGGGTATTCGGGGGTAAGCTATCAGAGTCAAAGAACTTGTACCTTGTAGTTTTGGTTGCATTGTTCTTATCTCTTCAGTTTGGTTTTGGTTGATCAAACGAAGATTCCGATTCTCCAGTTCCAGCTAACGGAATATAATGGTAACCTTTTAGGCTTGGATAAACACCTCAAAAATGACTAGTAAATGATTATATTTAGAAAATGTGAATAATATGTAACTATTCTACATGTAAGCCAGATACAAAGGAAATGATGATCAGATATCAGCAAATTATATCACCATAAACTATCAACCTAGATAATTATGGATTCAATATTTCATTGTTTCCAGAGCTAAGAGTTTGCTTTATGCCATGTAAAATTATTTTAGGCCAAAACTATTTCAGCATGTAGTCAGCCATCAACGTCAATAGTGTATACTTCTCATTTACCAAAAACACCTTATGAGATATATACGTGGCCTATAATTACTTTAAATTAACCAATTAAAGCAAGACTATATACACACCGATTGCCATGAGACTGTCAGCGTTTTAAACTTTCAGCATACACTGAACAGTACATTGAAAGCTACCTGTCCAAAAGACAGCAGCACCACCAAGTGATGAGAATTCTGTTTCACTCAGAATGATCACAGAAGAAAAATGGGAAGGAAAAGCAAAATAGAGCAATAAATACCTCATTTAACTTAACCGTCACCCATTCTTTAATCTTAGCTGCTTTCTCTTCGATTATTTTAGCTTCTTGTATTCTGATTTGTTTCTGAAATAACATTCGCATTAGTTTCATGATGTTCAGACACAGCAATCAACCATGCAGAGCTGCTATTTGCTTCCTCTCTAAGTTCACATGCTAAAGTATTTATCAATAAAATGTATCAATAAAATAAACCAATGCTGGAAAGGGTCTAGGGCTGAGAGCGGTAGAAGAGGGAAGAAGCAGGGGGATGGGAGAATCATAATCTCGCGTATGTGGCTTTTTACACACCCCTCCGGGATGGTCTACTTGGCACACATGGGGTCCTCGTGAGGTGGAATCAATGTCAACTCACCACAACAGCAGCATCTGGGTAGGGCCACAAAGCTACTGAGACTAAGACTATCGCATAAATCCCATGGGTGAGAACGGAGATGGTGAGAAGCTAAAACCCACTGATCTAAAAGGAATACGGATCCCCAGAGAGATGGGGGAGACAAACAAACCACCAACCTAAAACAAACAAAATTTAACCGAACAACTTCACAGCAATTACATTATAACGATGCGAAGTGACCATTTAAGTATTAACCCTATTACATTTTTTCCTTTTTTTAAACCCTCTTGCATTTTTATCCTAATGCAACTTTAAAATAAGCTAAACACATACTTGACCCCAGTGAAGGGGGTTTAGCACTGTACACTTGTCTTCAACAAGAACTTGCTTTCTAAGCAAGATTCTTATCTAACATACAGTTAAAATATGAGGACGCTTCAAGAAGTTTGTGGAAAAATTAAATAAAAGGAACGTGAATTTTTCCACAAACTTTTTGACACCTCCCCCTCCCCCCAGTAAAATGTCCTATAAAACATTCTCAATATTCTAACAATATAAAGCAAAGATTTTTTTAAATTATGGACAGAAATTCCTGCTGATAATCAAATGTTTTCCATTTAAAAACTGCATTCAAAATCTGAACTTTAAATTTTAAAGAGTCAACCAGCAAAAAGTGTTCAATCATGCCATGGGATTGCTCCAGAATTAACCAGAAAAGCTAAGACTATTTGACTTGTACCTTTGACTCATACAAGAGAGTCATGGAAAAATGGAATTGAGAGGCAGTATAATTTGGGCACAAACTTTTGGAAGACCTCCATGAATAGGATGCAATTCTAGGAACTGACCAAGTAAGATTCTCAGCAAACTTTAGAAATTTAGATCTTCTCATTTTAGTGTTTGTGATTACACATAAGTAAATACACACATTCAGAACCCTTTGATGATCAAACCTTCCTAACCTGCTCTTCCAGCTGCAGCTCCAAGTTCTGAATGATGTCATCTTTCTCCCGCAGGAGCGTCTCCAGATCCTGGCACTTTTTATACAACCGAGTCTCTGATTCACTGGTTTGAATATTAGCAGCTTTTAATTTCTCTTCCATAACTTGTACCTAAATTCCGAGGATGAGATAATAGTGCACATATTCAGCAAAGTATTTAACTTCAGAGTTTGACTTCAACATTATAGAGACCCCTAAAATGGATCATCATAAAAGGAAAATATTAAACAGAAAGTTTTTTTTTCTTTTTTAATCGTTTTATTAGGGGCTCATACAACTCTTAACGCAATCCATACATACATCAATTGTGTAAAGCACATTTGGACAGTCATTGCCCTCATCATTCTCAAAACATTTGCTCTCCACTTAAGCAGGCATCAGGTCCTGGCATTTGCCTCCCCTGGCATCAGGTCCTCTTTTTTTTTTTTCCCTCCCTCCCTGCTCCCCCCTCCCTCA